ATGGGTCAGCACCCCAAATTCCTGCATTGTTCAAGGGTCAACTATATGTACACACTGCATTATCTTTGCTAATAATCAAGCTGACCCAAAATGTATTAGTTGTGTCTCTGAAATTATTTTATGAGTTTGAAAAAGATTTATGTTTGTGATATTAGAAAAACTTAAAAAAAATTTTTTTTTTACTTTTTAAGAAACCAGTATGCACTCTGAGAACCAGAGTACCTACATTTTAAACCTGCAAACTACCAACTCTGTTATCTGCTTAAATGACCTCTCTGTACTTAAGTTTCCCCATCTGTGAAATTAACATGATAATAGAATCTATGGCACAGGGTTGTTGTGATAGTCAATGTGTGTAAAACATAAACAGTGCCTAGCACACAATAGAAGGCTTGCCATTATCATTACCATTGCTATTACTACTACAATTGCTGCTGCCCCACAAAGAAATCAACTCACTGACATCTTTTTTGGGTTCTAATACTACAGACTGTGTGATCTTTGGTTAAGTCACTCTTTCTACACCAGCATGGATCTAAGGTTAGGACTCTTTTTACAGTTTACTTTTAATATCTGTAAGTCAGTGAGTTAACTACTTTGTTCATTAGTTCCACTAATTTTTTGTGGAGTCTTTTGAATTTTCTACTTATATGTTCATGTCATCTACAAAGATAACTCTTTCTTTCTTTCTGTATTAAATGCCTTTTATTTATTTTTCATGCCTGACTTCTCTAAGACTTCTATTAAAATGTTGAATATAAGTTGCTGGAGTGGGCATCCTGGTCTTGTTACAGATCTTAGCGGAAAAGCTTTGGGTGGCAACGTTGAGTAAGATGTTAGTCATTGGCTTTTCATATATGGCTTTTATTATGTTGAGGTAAATTCTATATTTCGTTTTTTTAAAGATTTTTTTATCATGAAAACACGTTGAATGTTGTGAGATGATTTTCCTGCAGATATTGAGATGATCATTGATTTTTGTCATTCATTGGTGTTGTGTATCACATTACTTGCGTATTGTAAACTCTCCTTGCATTCCCAGGGATAAAACCACTTGGTCATGGTGTATGAGCCTTCTAATAATGTGTTGTTGAATTCAGTTTACTAGCATTTTGCTGAGGAAGTTTTCATTTATATTAATCAGGGATATTGGCATGTAATTTTTTCTTATAATGTTTTTATCCAGTTTTAGTATCAGAGTAATGGCCTCACAAAATGAGTTTGCAAGTATTCTCTGCTTTTCTATTTTTTTCTGGAAGAGTTTGAGAAGAATTGTTATTAATTCTTCTTTAAATGTTTGTTTTAATTCACCAGACAAGCCATGTGGTCCTGGACTTTTCTTTCCTGGGAGTTTTTTTTTGGTTTTGTTTTTGTTTTTGTTTTTTTATTGAGTCAATCTCTTTACTCATTATTGATCTTTTCAGATTTTTTATTTCTTCATGATTCAATATTGGTAGGCTGTAGGTTTCCAAGAATTTATCCATTATCTAATGTTATCTAATATGTTGGTGTATAACTGTTCACAGCAGTCCCTTATGATTCTCTTTATTTTTGAAGCATCCCTTGTAAATGTCTCTTCTATTGTTTTATTTGTGTTTTACCTTGCTTGCTTTCTTAGTGTAGTAAAAGGTTTTTCAAGTCTGTTTATCTTTTCAAAAGCCAAGTCAGTTTTAATTTTTTTCTATTGTATTTTTGTACTATATTTCATTTATTTCTGCTTTATTATTTCTTTCTTCCACTGGTTTGGGCTTAGGTTGTTCTTTTCTTAGTTACTTGAGTTGTAAAGTCAGGTTAAGATATCTCTTTCTTTTTTAATGTATATGTTACTATTACCAGCTTTCTTCTTCCTACTGATTTGGCTCCATCCCATATGTTTTGGTATTTTGTATTTTTTTTAATATGTATTTAAAAATTTTTTTTAATGTTTATTTATTTTTGATAGAGATAGAGCATGAGTGGGGGAGGAGCAGAGAGAGAGGGAGACACAGAATCCGAAGCAGGCTCCAGGCTCTGAGCTGTCAGCACAGAGCCCAATGCGGGGCTCAAACTCACGAACTGTGAGATCATGACCTGAGCCGAAGTTGGATGCTCAACCGACTGAGCCACCCAGGTGCCCCATTTAATGTTTATTTATTTCTGAGAGAGAGCACAAGTGGGGTAGGGGCAGATAGAGAGGGGGACAGAGGATCCAAAGCAGGCTCTGCTGACAGCAGCAAGCCTGATGGGGGGCTTGAACTCACAAACCATGAGATCATGACCTAAGCTGGAGTCAGACACTCAAATGACTGAGCCATCCAGGTGCTCTTGGTACCCTGTGTTTTTGTTTATCTTGAGTTATTTTCTTATTTCCCTTTTGATTTCTTCTTTGACCCACTCATTGTTCAAGAGTGTGTTGTTATATTTCCACACATTTGTGAATAAACCCATACATACACAGTTAATTGATCTTTTTAACAAAGGTACCAAGAGTACACATGGAGAAATGATAGATTCCCAAAGATGATGTTTAAGAAACTGAATATCCACATTCAAAAGAATGTTATAGCTTATATCATATACAAAATATATATGATACATATATCACATACAAAAATGAGCTCAAAATGGATATAGGATCTGAAAGTGTGAAACTCCTCAAAGAAAACATAGGAAAACTTCATGACATTGGTCTTGACAGTAATTTCTTAGATTTATCATCAACATGCAGTCAACAAAATAAAAAAATACACTACAAAAATCCTACAACTCAGCAACAAAAAATCAAATAACGAACTTAAGAAATGGTGCAAGGACTTGAAGAGGAATTTCTCCAGAGAACATAAAATCGCCAACAGACACAGGAAAATATGCTTGGCATCCCTAATTTCCTCCCAGAAAAACAAAGATAACAAGTGTTGGTGAGAACATGGGGAAATTAGAACCCAGGTACATTGTTGATACAAATATAAGATAATGCTGTCACTATGGAAATCAGTACAGAGGTTCCTCAAAAAATTAAAAATAAAACTACCAAATGATCTAGCAATCCCACTCCTGGGTATATATCCAAAATACGTGATAACCAGATCTCAAAGAGATAGCTGCACTCTCATCCTCACTATGGTATTCAAAAAGCCAAAATATGAAAACACCCTAAATGTCCATCAGTGAATGAATGAAGAAAATGTGACATATGCATACAATATTTGACTTTAAAACAGAAGGAAATGCTGTTATATGCAATTACATGACTGAATCTGGAGAACATCATGCTAAGTGAAATAAATATGTTACAGGACAAATACTGCATGATTCCACTTACATGAGACATCCAAAATAGTCAAGCTCATAGAAACAGAGTAGAATAGTAATTTCGAGGGGATGGAAGGAGGGAGATAAGGGGAGCTGTTCCTCAACAGGTATTAAGTTTCAGTTATACAACATGTATACATTATAGAGATCTGCTGTACATCATGTATTAATACTGTACCACACACCTATAAAAAAATTAAGATAGATTTCATGTTAAGTGTTTTTACCATAATGAAAACAAAAATGAGTACCTAGGATTAGATAGCTAACCTTGAAAGTGCTACCTAATCTACTAGCGAATCTCTAATTGTACCTTTTTCATGGAAAAGTACTTTCCTGGTTTTCCAATCTGATAATACCCCTTTTAGATAGATCACATTTTCTAGCCTTGGATTTTCTAAACTATGTAGATATTTTAACAGGGGAAATCTGAGAGAATTTTTCTAATGCTACCTATTGAAGAGACTGAGGTCAAATGAGATTCAGTAATATACCAGTTTTTATAGTTTCTCAGTGACATAATTTGGATGAGGATGCTGATCTTCAAATTCCCATTCCACTGGTTCTGCTTATGCCTACTAAGGAAAAAGTTTGAGTATTAAATGTGTGTCTTTATTCTCCCTTCTCACATCATCTCTAATCTAAGTTTTCTTTGGTAGCTCTATTCAAAAAGAAAAAGGAATTGATATTTTCAGGCTTTATTGAAGAATAGAAAATAAATTAATGTTTTAATCAAAACCATAGAAATATACATATTTTAATCCTCAGGAAAATATATTTGACAGGTAAAATACAGCATTTCCTAGTAACAATGTTTTTTTTTTTTATTTCATCAGTAATATGGATTAAATGTCCAAGAAAACTGACCTTATGATTTTTTTTTTGCTTCATATAGAACTAATTTTTAGTCCTAAATATATAAATTCTGGGAAATGTACTTAGAGATAGAGTTGGAATTTTTTCAAGTAGAATGTAAACAAAATGTATAAATTCAAATCATTTAAACAATTTTAATTATAGATTAATCTCCAAATTTCAAGAGAAACAGATATTATTGCAATAAATTTGGATGAATGATACACTGTCTTGTTACTTGCTATAAAAATTTTTAATTTTAAGATAAAATGTTTTACATTAGGTTTGATAATGATTATCTGCTACCAAAGAAGAAAAATTAAGCTCTATTACTGCAACTTTTCTGAAGACTGAAATTATGACAAAATAAAAAGTTAAAAACAAACTACTGAAAAGTAAAATGCTCTGACTTAGGCATAATCACTATTAAAACATTATATTCTTTGTATCTGAAAAAAAACTTGACTAAATTAAGTACTCTTTCTCTCTCTCTCTCTCTCTCTCTCTCGCACGCGCACACACACACACACACACACACCCCTAACAGATATATCTAGTGTTCATGTATATGTATGTGTGTGAGTAATCAAATTACCTCTTTCTTCACCATTTTTTGTGAATTTTTACAATATCTATAAAATATTCACCATTCATGGATATCCTATGACAAGGCCCTTAATTAAAAAAAAATAAAAAGCATGGCTATTGGTCCATGTACATCTAGGAATTTTCTGTATATATACATATACATACTATCACCATATAGAATGGAATAAAACACTTGAATTCCTAAGTTCTATAGTCAATAAGTTATTTTCTTTTCACAAAATTCATATGATTTTTGTATTGCATAGACACTGCTATGAAAGAAAACATTTGCAGTAGATATTGTATAAGGAGAGTGAAGTAATAGCACCCGAGAGGTACATCAGGTTCTAAATTTAGAAATATTGGTGTAGTTGTTTGAGTGGTGTAAATTTTTATTCCATTAAACTCATCCCCAAAGGCAATCATTAATTCTTTGTAATGTTCTATCATTTAGAGAATATTATAAGACAAGTAGATGCTAAACAGCATAGAGATAACTGCAAACATGAGCATGGAAGAACTAAGGAAAGATATGTAGAAAAAGAACACTTATAAAGGTCTTTTTGGAAGTACAAGGGAACCTTGGTGAAGATTTTTCATGGTTTTATTATTTAAGGTCTATGATATATACTCAGTTTTAATTTTGCTGATTTATATAATGTTTAAGCGTGGGATGGTATACAAGAAACCATCATTTAGGTCATACGTAAACCTTGTCTACTGGTCATCCAAATTCATCAAAATATTCTCTGTCCAACCTCTGTGTACAATGCATTAGTTTTTGCAATGAGTTAAAATGTCTTTAAATTATTATCAATTCAGTTTTCTAGATTTAGAAACATTTCTTATTATTGGTACCATAGAATATAATTTAAAATAGTAAATTATTTGCATGGAAATTTAATAGATTTTCCATTTTGTTTGCAATTAATTCATATAACTACGGAGAGTAGGAGATGGTCACATCATTTTCCCCATAAATATCTTGCTGTATACTCTAGAGAAACCAGAGGTAGCAAAGATATTAGTAAATCTAGATTTTATTATGAGGCAATTGTAAGAATTTTGCTCCACTAATGAAAGGGGATTGACTCAACTTTGAGCCATTCTTGAATTGTATACATAACTATGTTTCCTAAAAAAAAAAAAAAAGTGCATGACTTCCATCCATACAAGTATTAAACTTTATTTGTGCTTTTTGGTTAGACATAAGTCACATAAAGAAAAAGAAATTATTTATTTAGACTCTAATTATTATTCTATATTTTAATATTTCTATTTCTCACATTATTATACTATTATATATCATATGCTAATATAAGTATTAAATTATCAAAAGACTACATTTGAGAATAAAATAAACTATTTCTACTGTATATATTCAATATTGAAATTAATGTGAATCACTAAAAATATTATTACATATGAAAACAACATTTCACATTCTGGTGCTGTGAATAAAAATAATCCAGTTGGTTGAAAGGGCTATTTATTTGCTTTATTATCTGAGTAGTGGCAAACATTTAAGAAAGCAGTTTTTATATCTGTGGTCCTAATTCCATATCAGAAACATCAATAATAGTAATAAAATAAAGAAAAATTAAAAAAAATTATTAGATATATTTAAAATATATGTCACTACTTGTGGATATATTCAATCTTATTTCTAGGAGGTATCAAGTACTGTTCATGAAAAAAGCCAATAGTAAATCACTGAAAAGAGACAGAAAAGTTAGAAGTTATCTACTGAGAAGTCATATACCACATTACTGCACAACCAGGAAAATCTTTTAAAAGCAATGGCAAAATACAAAAATATTTCAATACAATAATAATTCATATTACTACTCAAATAATCAACAAAATATTTCTAAATTGAAATAGCAGCAATAGCAAAATCACCCAATATTTATTTGCCACTAACGTTTTTCTAAACACTTTTCTTGTATTGTCATTTAATCCTCATACCAGTCGTAACATGTTGTCTCTGTTTAACTGAACATAGAGCTGTTAAGCTAACAGGAGAAAATTTTCAAAAATAATGGTAAAAGCAGACTTTCAATCTGAATTTATATCTCACAGCACACTAGGATTTAGACCAAGATTTTGTGGCTTAATTGTTCTGGGATTTGGGGAAATTGTTCTTTAACACCTCGCCTCAGTTTCTTCATAGCATCATTACTTTATCTGCAAAAATGTACCGTTCTGTTAAAATTACATAAAATTACATCACATATGTAAAGTTCCCACTCTACAATTTTTTAAGAAAAGCAGTTGTTCAATGCATAACTGCTTGGCTCCATTAGTCTCAAAGGAACCTGTCCTGCTACTACTCTTCCCACTGCTGATAGCCTTTAGTGTGTCTCTTCACAAATATTGCACTCTGATTAGTAAGTCATAGGAGTTGTATTTGCAGGAATATGCTATAGAAAACAAAAATACGGAAACTGAAAATATGCATTTGAATCCTAGCTCAACCATCATGTCATCATGAAGGAGGGACAAGAAAAGAATATAAAACACAGAACTCAAGGCAGAATGGGAAAGTACCATCTCACATCCAAATATCATTAATTCTAAAAAGCATTAGAAAAAATGAAGTATGCCTGGAGACAAGGTAAAGATTCATCTATTTATCTATCTATGATATTATTAAGGAATCAGCTCTAGTTAACACGATAGTTTCCAAAATATTTCATGCTTTCCCCTTATCTTTATGTATGTCATCAAGAAATACCTCTAAAGGAGTGTCTGGGTTGTTCAGTTGATTAAGCCTCCTACCTGGGCTCAGGTCATAATCTCACAGTTGGTGAGTTCGAGCCCCACGTAGGGCTCTGTGCTGACAACTCAGAGCCTGGAGCCCACTTTGGATTCAGTGTCTCCCTCACTCTCTGCCCTTCTCCCACTCATGCTCTGTCTCTCTCTGTCTCTCAAAAATAAATAAAAATGTTAAAAAAAATTAAAAAAAAAGAAAAAGAAATACCTCTAGGGATGCCTGGGTGGCTCAGTCAGTTGAGCGACCGACTTCAGCCCAGGTCATGATCCTGTGCTTCATGGGTTTGAGCCCCGCATCGGGCTCTGTGTTGATGGCTCAGAGCCTGGAGCCTTCTTCAGATTCTGTTTCTCTCTCTCTGTCCCTCCCCCACTCTCTGTCTCCCATAAATAAACAAACATTAAAAAAATGTAAAGAAATACTTCTATAATTCCTTTTTTTTTACATTTCAATTAATCAGTTTACAGTATCTTAAATTCTGCTAAGAATTGAATAGAATAAGAGAAAACTGACATCTAGTGTCAAATAAATCATATAATGGTGAGTAGAGATAAAGATTACTAGAAAATTGTTTCATGTATGGTTTCTGCAAGTAGTGAATATTGATAACAGGCCAATTGGTTTTGCAATGTTTTACTTTGATACTGATAGTTTAAAAAAAATTATTTTGAACGAGACTGAAAGTGGGGGCAGAGGGAGAGGGAGAATCACAAGCAGGCTCTATGCTCAGCACAGAGCCAGACATGGGGCTTGATCTCATGATGGTGAGATGGTGCCCAACACAGGTCTGGATCTCACCACTGTGAGATCATGACCTGAGCCAAGAGTCTGTTGTTTAACCCAATGATCCACCCAGGTGCCAGACATTGATACTCTTTAAAGCAGTCATCCTCATACATATAAAAGGAGATTTCAATGAATGAGAGTTGCAGGTCAAATGATATAATACTAGCAAATCCACACACACACACAAATCATGCTTATACATTATTGAAATACCCTAGTCTAAATTAGAGGGACTTAGTTTGGTTAACTAGTAATCAGGAGAGTGGGATTTAAGTCTAAGGTTAGTTTAGACAAGTAAACATTACTGAGCTTCAGTGTTTCTTCAGTAGCATAAAGGCACTGAAACAAATACTAATATCTCAACAAGTTACATTGTATGGTTTTAAAACTCATTAATAAAATGAAAAACAAATATTTTTAATAATGTTAAGTCATATAGACCAAAGTCAATATTGCATTTTATGTGGTATTTTAATCCATGGTAATATAAAATATTACAAATGCCAGAGATATAATATGAAGAAAGAGAAGTGATTTCTTGTAATCCTTCATAATGCCCATGTCAACTACTGGGAATTATAAAACAAGAAGTAGTAAACACATTATTTCTGACAAAGAACTAAATACCAGATATTCTGCTGCTCTGACATTTCAGAAAACTGATACTCAAGATTATATTTTTAAATGCCAGCATGCTATTACTTTATGTGCTATGTGAATGCAGTTGCATGCATTCAAAAAAAATGATGGAATTTAGTTTATCTTAAAACAGAGCATAATACAATAATTATAAGTTACAATAAAATTAACAGGACTATGTCCATTTTAGTACAAATATAGGGAAATACACTTTTCATTCATAATAATTTTGTTATTTTAAATATTTTCTAAACATATGGTTTTACTCTTATTCAAATACATTTTTTATGCATTTTAATTTCTTATTGTGAAAGCTATGTATCTGAGGGCAATAGAAAGAATTCGGAATTCAAGTGTTACATTATAGAAAAATAATAAACTAAATTTTCTGCAGTAAATTCAAATGAATAATTCTAAGAAATTTTAATGACAGTCACTAAAATCTCAGTCTAGATAATTATATATTTGATTTGAAAAATAAACTGTAGATTTTAAATGTTCTTCTAAAATTTTATGAAAGTACAATAAAATTTATGATAGATTTAGCATACAACACAATAATGATACACAGAAATATTATTGAATAATTATTACATTAAACTTTTATTATAAAAGGATATAAAACTAGTATTTTTACTTTTATGAAATGTAAGTTTAATAAAACCTGATGGCATATGCAATAAACATTTACAAAATTTAGACAAGTCTATGTAAGTAGAGTGTAAGTATATATGCATATATATATGTTTGTGTAATGTATATGTGAATGCATATGTGTGTACATATAATGTGGTCTATTTCAGAAATGCTACATTAGAATTTTAGGTTGATTCCTTGGAACTCTTTATTCTAGAAATATGTAAGTATCTCTAAAAATTTTAAAGCATATTTAAATCGACCTCTGACTCAGGAGGTAAACCTTGACAGAGGTAAAGATCTTCTACAGAAATTTCTAGTAAGCTAGTACGTACTTACAGAGTAGGTAAATCCCTCACCCCTTAGTAAGATAAAACTTCTCAGAATAAATTGTGTTTAAGTACTATCCATAATTTCCTTAGAAGTCCATGATGTGGCAAGCTTAACAGCCTTTGTTTTTGCAACCTAGTTACTTTTCTCAGGACACATGTGTTAAAATAATTCAAGAGAAGCTGACAAACTGGGAGGTCTGACAAACTAAAAATTCTATATGTAAAATTCCTTCTCTCTCTCTCTCTCTCTCTCTCTCTCTGTATGCATGCACGTGCACCTGTTTCTTTCTCTGTCTCCAACCCCATTGGTTTTTTTCTATAATAGTTGTTATGGATTGGTAAAGACAGGGCGATGCCTTTGGGTGGTTTGCTCTGCCTAGGAAATTAGAACCTGGAACTCCAAAAGAATGAAGGTGACACATCTGAATCCCAGGAGCACATTCTAGTTTTTCCCTACAATTATCAAGTACAGTTTGATCTAAACAATATGCTAAAACTCATGAAAGGCAGATACATTGTATTTATATATCATTTCATACAAATGTTATATTTCACAATAAACAATAAGCCACCTATTACGAATATTTTCCGTATCAATAAAATATATCAAAAATATCAATAAAATATAAATATAAAAAATTAAAAATAAGAATTAAAAAACAATAACATTAAAAAATTGTAGGTTAATACCAAAAGCTCACTGGTATCGATATTTTGAAGTCAATAAAAGAATCACTAATTAGGGAAACAGAAGTTTGAAATGAGAGTCACTACCAATAACATATGATTCAATTCACCAGGAAAATATGATAATTCTATTTTTTTATGCACCTAATTAAAAGTATCTCAAATATATAAAGCAAAAATTGACTGAAGTAAAAGGAGACACAGATCCACTATCCTAATGGGAAAATTTAACTCATCTCTCTCTGTAAATGATAGACATTGAATATCAGTAAGAATTTTAAAAGTTCAACATAATCAACACCTAAATATAATTGATAAATTATCTAACTTCACACCTAATAACTAAGAAAATATATACCCTTTTCTCTACCATGCAAGGTCCACTCATGAAAACTGTTCTCATTCAAATCTCGAAAGCAAGTCTCAAGAAATGAAAAAAAAATCATATATTAAGTTACAAATAAAGAATACACATAGTTTTGGAACATTCTAATTGTTCGGAAATTAATAGCAATCCCTATATAAATTAAATAATAAATTTTTTAATAAAATCAGAAAGATAAAGAAATGACAAAATTATACAATAAAACTTGTGAATCTAATTAAAATTACAGTAGAGAACTTTCTATAATGCAGCTTAGCAAGTTAGAAAAACTAAAACAGAATGTAATAAAATATCAAAGGACAAAGAGAAAATTATAAAAATAAAATTAAAAATATATGATCAACTTATCAACAAAAGTGAGATTCACAAAATAAGATTCATAAATCTTTAAGATTTACAAACTAAGATCAATGAAGAAAGAGAGAAGGCAAAAAACAGATCACATTAGGAAAGCAAAATAGTGTGAAAAAAGGGGACAGCAATATTAAAAAATAATGGATGGAAATTGTGAAATCTTTATCCCAATAAATTCGAAAAACATAATATTTGCCAAAACTGACTCAAAACAAAAAACTTAAGTATTACTCTAACCATCACAAAACCCAATATGGTTTTTAAAAATCATCCTACAAAAAAGGGCAGGTCCAAGCAGTCCTACCTTCTAACATTCAAGGAACAAACAAATCAAATTCACCACAATTATTGTAAAGTCCAGAAAGAGAACAAATCTATGTTACTTTAACCAAATCTCTTAACCTTGGTACCAACATAAAAATAATATTAAAGGTAGAATTATAAGCAAATCTCACATATGAATATAGATGCAAATATTTTAAAATAGATACCTTCACACCAAATTAAGAACTAAAGGTGATTATACACCTTGAATAATTTAAACTTACCACAGGAATTTATTGTTTTTTAGTATGAGAAAAAAATTATTATAAACTGACTAATTTGTATATGAGAAAATCAAGTAATCATCCCAATGGTTACCAAAATGGGGATTAAGGAATCACAACCTGTTATGTTAAAAAACATCTCACCAAAATAAACAGAAAATAGAGTTTTCTCAATGTGACAATCCTTAACCATTATAAAACTGGAAAAAAAACACATAATGTGAAATATTTAAAGTATTTATTTTATGACTAGAAACAAGTAAAAGGCATCCATTTTTACTGATGTCATTTCATATTCTGCTGGAGACACTGTCCAGTGCAAGAAGTCAAAGAAAATTAAGCGGATAGGAAAAAATAAGTCAGATCCTTTTTTATAAATGATATAGTAAAAAGAATCTACAAGTAGATTTATAAAAATATTAGATTGTACAAAATTATTAAAATTAACAATGGAAAATTTGCTTCTATACAAAATTAATATCTGAAATTTTATTGCACTTTAATGTTAAAACTACAAGCATTTCTAATATTTAATTAAAATATATCACTTAACATAGAAACAAAACCTCTAATGTACCTAAGGGGTAAAATATAAGAAAATGTGGGTAAAAATTTTACAGAGTAAAATGCATTTATAATATTTATATAGTTTATATATTTTATGTATAGTTTATATTGAGTATACATAAAAATTACTGATATATATATTGGAGGAGACGTTAATAAATCAAGATATATGTACTCATACTCAATATAACAAGGTCCCATATTTATCATAAATGAGATATAAATTCAATTTAATTCTAATCAAAATTTCAATAGGATTTGGTAGAAATTAATAAACATAAATTTAAGTCATAAAATGCCAAGAATAGTCAAGGAATTCCCAAAGAGTGAGACTTATCTGCCACATAACTTTCAAGTATTATTTTTAAAGATGCCATATATGTCAGTGTCATATGACAGCACTTTAATCAACGCTATTTTCAACCCATGTGACTGCAGAATTTAGAGCTGAGATTATATATAGGATTCCTATAAACTTACACAAAAACCCATAAAGTATCCAGATGATAAATGGACATACACAGAGGCAATTTACAGAGAAGGAAATATGAAAGCCTAATAATTATTTTTATGATCTCACCTATTGAAATGTCAAATACATGTAACTTAAAATATAATTTTTAGCAATTCACACATATGTGATGACGTTGTCAAGAAAGACAAAACATAAAACAAAATTGAGGCTAGTAGTCCTCTAGATGGAAGAAGAGGATGTTGATTTTTGTCAGGGAAAGGCCAGTAGGAATTCTACAATGACCAGAAAGTTCTGGATTAAACGTCAATAGTGGGCACACAAATATTTTTTTCTTATTCCTTATGTGTCACATGTTTCTTATATTTTATGATATATTTTCATATAAAATGCACAATTTAAGGAATATCATGGTAAATTATTAAAAAAAATTAAAAAGACAAAAATGTAGTATAAAAAGTTTCCAGAGAGACGTTGCTTCAGCAGCACATAACACTAAAAGTGGAAAGACACAGAGAAGATTAGCATAGTCCCTGGACAAGGATGATACAAAATGCTTCCAGAGTAAACCTCTTTACTCATAACAAACTCAACCACAATAGTATATACTAAAGAAACCTAAATAAAACCATTTTCAGAAATGCAAGCAGTGAAAATCTACCATGCAATGACCTTCTAAGAGTGAATTACTCTTAAGTGTATTCTCACACACTAATAAATTCATCGATGAAGAATCATGAAATATAAGAAATAATGATGAGAAAGAAAACTGGTAAAATGTATAGTTAATACTAATAATTATTAACAAAAACAAAACTCAACAAAACAAAAATGGGCCTTTCTCTGATTTTTCATTCTGAATGGAAATAAATTTGATTCAAGAAAGAGTTAGGTGGTCCCATTTTAGTGTATGGCACAAGATGTATTTTCCACTGCAGGTTCTGCCGGAGTCTTTCATTGGCAATACAGACTGTTCAAATTATACACACACAGCAATTGTGTGTGTGTGTGTGTGTGTGTGTGGCTGTGCGCACACACTATAGATCCAACAAATCCTAAAGAGAGCATACGTAGAACACACTGTACCCTCCTTTATACAAAGGTGTTCTGGCTAAGCTTCAGTGAGTACATGTAATATTTTTAATATTTGCTATCTAAATGCTACATGGGAAGATGAAGGGTTATGTTGATCAAATTCTGTATCATTTTAACCATCCTCCTTCCTTGCTTGGCTTTAGTATACACAGGCTGATTAGTAATGTAGTTTCGACTACTGTGCTAACTCACAAGATCACAAATGGGGTTAAAAAGAATAAGAATCTTCATTTTTTTTTTCAGCAATTTCAAGGTATTAGTTTCAGAATTCAGGCCTTTTCTAGGGCCAAGTAAGACGTATCTCACATCAAACTTATTTCACATTTGGCCTCTGGCATTAAAGGGAATATAAGGTCCAGCAAGTCCATTGTTTGAGATTTCCTTTGAAATATTAGGCAACAGGTATGGATTGAATTATCTTCCCAGATGCTTTCCTTTAATTCTTTCTCTATGAAATGCTAGGGCTCTGTTATTTAAGACTGCAACATGAAAATAGAGCCAAAAATATATTCTGGTTGTTTTGGAGCAATGAAGTTTAACGAAGGCCCAGTTTATGAAAAATTTGAAGATGGTAAAGAATTGTGAGAAAGACCCTAAAGCACACTTTACGTTGAAATTCTGAAGGCTTAGGGAATGTACCAACTGGAACTGAAGTCATACCATAGAAAAAATATTGCATTACTGAATATCTGCTTATATATTTGTATCTTGTGAATATAATGTTGCTGCCATGAAACTATGCGGGTGCTTAATAAAAATCATTTCACTTGAAACATGAGCCAGTGTGGAGCTGTTGCAGATAGAGGCTAGGATATAGGTTGACACAAAGAAAGGGGTTATGAAGTTTAAATGAGGTGAAAAGAAGGAAGCTTCTCTTCTGCCCTCAGCCCTCTCCATGTTTTCTACCCACTTTTCTTTTTTTCTTTTATTTTTTTATACCAATTCTTGCCAAAATTAAGTTGATACTTGATTTCCTTATCTAATAATCTATGCATGTAATGCTTACTGGTCATAAACCTGTAGAAGAGGAAGGGTCAGCGGCAGAATACACTGCTGGGCTACTCCTTAGACACTGATTCCATTTAGAATTTTTCAAAAATAGGATGCTTATGCTTTTGATTTGGTGATGCTGCTAGATTTTGTTTCTGCCACTATTACTGGAAGGAAAAATGACAGTGGTCCTACAAATTTCTAATTTCTATTATGACATATATGCCCAGGGGCATATCACTCTCCCCCCATTGGAGTTGCTTAAGATTTTATACTTCCGTAAAACCTGGACTTGGTATAGGAGAAGATGTCTACTCTTGTAATCCAGATGTTTGCCTCATATTCTGCTCTATTTTCAAGGATGATCAAGAGCAGGGACATCCATTCTCTTATGAAAACAGTTTATCCTCAGCTTTTGAGCCATTTACAAGATTCCAATGGAAAAAAAGGATATTTATCATGTGCAAATTACATAATATTAACATGTTTGAATACTGTAGTCAATTTATATATATGTGCATATATATATACTTATATACATAGAAAGTGCAGTTTTTGTCAGAAAATATATATTTAAATTAGCTATATTGATAAAAACGACAATTATTGGAAGGATTTAGAGATATTGCTCAGAATCCAAGAAAAGAAATGTAGCAAAAATCCATGAGGCTCTGGAATCAGGAAATACAATGTTGATAACTCAGGCCATAACATAATACAGATGTTTAGGGATTAAAGCTTTGGATAGTGGAAGCTTGTTAATATTGAATCACAAATAGGTCAGTTCCTTATTAACTAGAAAACAATATACAACTGTAGTGAGTTTGTCATAAAAGGTATCCATATTAGATGAAAGGATAGAAATCATCCAAAAATGTTCTCTAACCCCTTCTACGTAAGGATTTCCTTGGTATTCATACATGTATTGAAGGATTGACATTTAATGCTCAAACTATCCATATATGCACACATACACCCCTATATATAACTAATTGATTGAAGTTTTCATTTTCCTGATCATTGTTTTTACATATAAACAAAACTTGCATTTCTTCTCTATTTTTTGCTTCTATAAAGTTGAAAGTTGCTTGGATTTTCTTAAGTTACTATGTAACTTTGATAATGTAGGCTTTCCAAATACTAGAAGACATGAACTATATTATTTTTCTTAAAAAAATGCTTCATGTTTGACATTGTCAACGTAGGTTTGATGGCTAAGTCACTTACTATTGAATTTTGGTACTTCAGGTTAAGGGAATTTAAGATTTTCTATAGAAGAGGTGACAGTCATTCAGCAGTTCTTGAAAGCTGATGAAACCACCTAAGTGACAAAAATGGGGTCCGGTTGAAGCTAACCAATTTTGAAAACTGGGGGAAGGGAGTATGGTTAAGTGGATAAAGCATTATTAATACAGTTCTAAGTAGGGTTCAATTTCACAAGAGATGTCAGAAATCCAAAACCACTACTCTGTGGGTTTACAGTGTGAAGTTTTCTTTTTTTCTTTTTTTTTTTTCAACGTTTATTTATTTGTGGGATAGAGAGAGACAGAGCATGAACGGGGGAGGGGCAGAGAGAGAGGAAGACACAGAATCGGAAACAGGCTCCAGGCTCTGAGCCATCAGCCCAGAGCCTGACGCGGGGCTTGAACTCACAGACCACAAGATCGTGACCTGGCTGAAGTCGGACGCTTAACCGACTGTGCCACCCAGGCACCCCCAGTGTGAAGTTTTCTAAAGTTTCCTTCTGAAGTATACAAAAAGTTTGCCTACCAATAAGATGAGATTAACCTAAGGCCCATAAACATCCAGAATTTTATTTGTATTATTTGTATTTGTATTATTTGTATTTATTTGTATTATTTTTTACACAAAGTTTGGTCTCTTTGAGAACATGTTAAATCCAGAGAATAGACGAAAGTAATTCTTAAGAAACATTACTCAAATTCCCTTGGCAACATATATCTTTGTCAAGTCACAAAAAATAATTTGCTAAATCTTGGATTATTCTTTTTTAAAAATAAGAGGGGAATAATCATTTTAAGATAGAGAATTGCTCAAAAGCTTATAAATAATGTGGAATATCCATTTATCTCTCCTGGTCTTTTTTCAGTAATTTTGGTATTTTTCATCGTGCTCTGTAAGATCTATTTTTAATCTATTGGACAATAATTCATGAGAAATTTGGAAGAACTCTGGTGTTTTGATCTTGAATTCAATGTGGCATCTGGAGAGATCTAATAATTTTTAATAAAGCATAGCTTCCATTTCAACCTTCTCCTTGTTAAATATTTTTAAAATTTTTCTAAATTAAAATTTTTTTTTCTTATTTGAGAGATAAGAGAGAGAGCAAGAGCAGGGAGGGACAGAGAGAGAGAGAGGAAGAGAGAAGATCTCAAGTAGCCTCTGCGCTGACAGCCAGGCTCAAACTCACAAATCATGAGGTCATTATCTGAGTGGAAATGAAGAGTCCTACTCTTAACCCACTGAGTCACCCAGGTGCCCATTCTTGTCAAATGATTTAAATGAAACTCGTGACTTCTTCAGCCTAATCTGGAGCCTCATACGTGATAAAATCAAAATTGCCTATGGAGATAAAGTAGAATATGTTACAAATGAATAATATTTTTAGGAGAGAATATTGAGGGGGGTAACCAAAGAGTAACTCCTAGTTTTCTTATTAGACAAAAGTATCAGAGAAAAAATAACAGGAAATCTACTCAAGGTGCTGAACCTGTTCAAGAATTAACTTTATGGTTCTCAAAAAGTTATAAGCTAAATTTATACATTTCCTAAGTTATTACATGCAAAAGGAGATAGTTGCCACAGTAATTACATTTGTAATTCCTATAGCTGGCAATAACCAGAGAAGGAAGTTTCATGGTGTATAGAGAGGGTAAAAGAACATGGAATGTTGAAGTTCAGCCTTTGGATAAAGGAAGTGAAAAAAAAAAAAAAAAGCCTGGGCATTCGAAATATATTTTTGTGGAGAAAAAAGGTAAGATGTGGTTTTTACTGATACCACAATTAAGCACCAAACGATATGTTTGAAAATCTAATGATTTATCTAAATAAAAGCATCCTTAAGACAATTTCAATATAAATCATGTCCAAAATATTTACCTTGAATGTTCCTTGGAATGCCTATGTGAGTATGTCAAGTGATATGGATCACTACCTTTCAGCGTAGGGATTTTTATGTAATTGAATCACAGTTGATATACAATTTTAATTTTACATTAGGTTCAGGTGTACAACAATGTTTCAACACAGAATAGGGCACTTTGGCTTTGACTAGCTATAACTTTTAGAAGATGTTCTCCTTAGATCAAGGATTGCACAAATATCAGTATCTCTTCAACTTCAAATATATGCAAAACCAGAAAAAAATGGGAAGATGGAAATTAATGTGTACTGCTGATTCCCAGTTCAAGCATAGATCTGGAGATATGAATGAATGAATGTTAAAGTTGATAAAGAACTGAAAAGCTGGGTAGAGAGAGTGGCCTAAGATTGAGGAAAAGCAGCAACCTCTCTGGTAGCAGTTGTTTACCACTATGGTCAGAAAGTAGGCTATGGGGCAGATTTTTTTTAAAATTTTTTTTAACATTTATTTATTTTTGAGACAGAAAGAGACAGAGCATGAATGGGGGAGGGGCAGAGAGAGAGGGAGACACAGAATCGGAAGCAGGCTCCAGGCTCTGAGCCATCAGCCCAGAGCCTGACGCGGGGCTCGAACTCACGGACCGCGAGATCGTGACCTGAGCTGAAGTCGGACGCTCAACCGACTGAGCCACCCAGGCGCCCCAGATTTTTTTCTCTAACACATTGCCATGGGAACATCATTGCCTACTCCTGCTCTTTCTGGGCAGAAAAAAGATACAAAACTAACATAATGCTAGCACCAGAATTGTTGTGAGGTGCAGGTAGCAATTAATGCAGGATGATTATTCTTCTCATGACCTTTATTCAAGGCTTACAGCCAAACCAGGAGAACAGCTTTAATGGGAGTCATTTGCTAAACCACCTAATGAAAGTGAAACAAAGATGATCAAGATTATGACTATGTGAAGTCTCCCACCCATCAGAAGCCCTACTGTAATTGCATGTAGGTAAAGTGTATTAAGAATTTTAAAACAATGCATTTTTCATTTATCGATTTTTTTCTTTTATTCATATCATTTATTGTTTCCTTTAGAATTTTTATAGACTTTTTGTGTGTGTATGCACAGTAGTAATCCTATAATTGTTATATTTTCTCCTATTTACTACTTCTAAGGACAATATACTCTAGTATAGAATTTAATTTTTTTTTTGGTTTGAATTATTTTATTTCTGATAGTTCCCAATAATTTCATATTGTTGTCTTACCTTCTCATTAATCATTGCTCGTAAAAAAGTAGCAAAAAAGAAAAAGCTGTATGCCAATTGATTCAGTTGATTTACCAGGGAAAGTAACTTCCTCTTAGGAAGAGAAATTCACTTTGTCTTAAAGTACGTTAACAGAATAATGGGGTAGTTGAGCATGAAAGATGAGGCCTTCTAAACATAACCCAGATAGAAGGTGTTTACTTTACAAAAAGTCAATTTCTCTACGTAAGAAACAAACAGGAATTTTTTTTTTGGAGTTGGGGCTGGGGGTGGAGAGGGAAGGTGATGGTTAATGCTGGAGAAAGTTATCCTAAGAGGCAAGAGTAAGACACCAATAAAGGGCATAATAAAGCCAGGGAAAAATTATCTTTTATGTGTAATGGACATCTAATTTTAGGAGAGTGATATTTAGTATGTAAGGTCTTTGTTGCCACATCTATTGTTATCATCTACTAGCCCCATACTTACAAAGAAAGACATTTGTACCGCTAGTTTTGTTTAATGGCATAAATGATGTTTAATTGGGAAAATGGTAATTATAAAGAGGACAGAGAAGGAATTTCAAAAGGGGGCTTAAGGTGAGCAACACTTGTGAAACAAGCTTATAAATGAATTAACCATTAATATTAATGCTGAAGGCCTAGAATCACCTGGAATAGGTTTATTTCATAAAGAGCTCTTTAATTTTCAAACAGAGTTTTTATTTGTTGCCTCTGATTTTCTTTAATAAAGGAAATGATCTGGAAAAAAAAAAGAATAGCCATCAACTATATTCAGCATGCTCTGTTTATCTCTTCAGAAACTTCTCCTTCATGATGTTTCCCCCCATCACCCCAGTGAAACATGCAGTAAGTATGTCTGTGTCTCAAATATCTTCTTAGAGGGTACATCAGTCATATTGGTTTGGGACCCACCTTAATGACCTCATTTAGCCATAATCACCTACATAATTTACTTATCTCCAAATACAGACACATTCTGAGATACTGGGGGTTAGGATTTCAACATTTGAATTTGGAGGGACACAATTATGCCCATGAAAAGGGACATATGAAACTAGTTTATTTCACAGATTTAATCACTCAGAATCCTAAAGTGCTGGGTTTGGAACTCACAGCTTCAGTAGAGGAATAGAAGAATTTTACCATCTGATGTGACTCTGCTCTGATTATATTTTAGGACTACCATGAAGATATACTAAAAATTCTAACACCCTGGAGGAGTCTAAAATCCCATTCAGCTGCAAATCTTCCTGTCATGGGAGTTGATTGCCAGCTCTAATTTTGAGTGAACGCATTAAACATGATGGTGAAAATATCAATTAAAAAAATCTACTCTCCATACTACGTGTGTCTATTTCCATGTGTGTTCTTCCCTAACTTACATTCCACCTACACAGAGTTGTTTGTGGCTTCTATTTTGTCAAACTCTTAAAACATTCTTAGTTAAAATCATCTATTTTTTTTTCTACTATCCTACCTTGACCTTGTCTTCAGCTCTTGCTCCTTAAAGATTGGGATGTGGGGGGACACTTCTCTCCTTTACCACATAATTCTTTTGTCAGGAATTTCAGGATTTCCTCAAAGTTTGCAGTTGTATGTTTGACATTCTCTAATTTCAACAATGATGTTTTTCATTTTATATTCTCATATTTTTGTAATTTGGGTTGGTTCTTGTATGGATTTGAAAACTTACACTTATTCTAGGCTATTATTCCCAAGAATTCCATTACAAGGTTTGTATCCACCTGAATGCCCCAAAGATCCCAAAAATGCCAGTATTCAGGTTCCTATTTCCTAGTTTTCCCCATTTTTAATACAGTCCTCCTTGACAGTTTGAAATTTAGCAGATAAACTTGTGAACATGAAGTAGTTTTGAGTTAATTCAAAATCATCATCAGGGAAGAAAATTCTTGTCAATAAAATTAAAATCTGTACCCATCAATACTAGTATAGATCATTTCCCTTTAACAGATTGCTTTTGAATTTCAAACATTTTTTTTCAATTTAAATATTAAGCATTTACAATCAAGTGCTAATTTATTTTCAATCCTACTTCCACTATTTCCCCACCTTTCTTCTTTAATCCATAATTATATGTCAACATTCCTTTTCTTCCAAAATATATTTTATCTTTCCTTTCCCTGGTATTTTTATAATACCATTTACTTGATCTGGAATATCATATTCTTCCACTGTATCTGTTAAACATTTTTATATCCCCCAGTGTTTCTATTTAGGCAGCTAGCCTCATGAAGAATTTCCAGTTCATCTTCTATAATCTGAGTTTAAGGTCTCAAGGGGCATCTACTAGAGAAATGTTGAGCTCCCCTTATCTTCATGAGCAGAAATCAGCATTAAATATGGACAGCAGTGTAATTCTTCCAAAGGAATTATATTTGAACTCTCTATCAATTCCTCTAATCAGGACTGGCTCCATTGATGAGTAAAGTTGCACAGTGTCCAGCACTTAAAAAGGCCCTACACTTGGGGTTTCATGTTCTATAGACATCATTTAAAAATTATCTTTGAATTGGTGTTTTATAAATGAGTCCTATTAGACAATGCAGGACTGCAATGGGTAGGATCAGATTTAAGTGAGAGCCTTGCAGTGTCTGGGGCTGGGCAAGTTTGCAGCCTCCCTGACTCTCGCAGTTAGCTGAATAGTACCTTCCAAGGGGATTTGATGGGGAACTCTTCACACATTCCCCATCCAGATACTGAGTGCATCCCAGCATGGAATCTGCAATCCTTTGGAGGTCTGAAGGGTTAGGGTGGTGAGCTCTGGAGAAAAAGACACTGATTCCCTGCCCCAAACCAGGGTCCTGCATTTTCACTTTGTACTGGGCCCCGTAAATTATATAGCCAACTATACCTCCAATGAATACCAATTAATATAAAGTAATAGGAGGAAAGGAGGGGAAAAAAGTATTAGGAACTCCTTTTCTCCCATTCACACAGGTCAACATTTAAAATTAAGTAAGAGTATCATGGGTAAAAAGGCACTTCACAGCCACTGTCTGTATTTTTTGTCATTTGAATGGTTTCAATAAATATTGTTATTCTGTTAAGTTGAATTAATATAGTTCTGAAGGTAAGATCTGTACGTATCTGAATAACTAGAAAGCAAATATAAGTGTATTCTGAGAAAAAAGAAAAAAAGATTCTCTAAATAAAAGATATATATAAAAGTTGTTTAAAAAAGCAGATGATGTAACTAGCACATTGTAAGTGTTGATGGTTAGTGAGAATCAAAGACTTTTTAAGGAGATGGGTGAGGTCTTTGCTATATAATTATATATCAGAAAATATCTCTCAGTGCTCAATAAAATTCACAACCACTTAAGCAGTAATTTTGTTAAGAGTAACAAAGGGGGACCTACCAAAGTAGTGCACTAGGGTGCTGATCAGTGGTAGCCTATGAACCCAGCATAGTCGAACTGTGTTATTTCACCAGGACTAAGAACTCAGCCCAAACATGTGAGCTTCCTGTACCATCTTTGCTGCAGAGAACAGGATAAAAATGAACTATCACTAAAAATTAGGGCAGACACTTAGATATGATTAAATATGTTATGGACATATCATATACACCATAAAAACTATACTGAGACAGATACTATTAACATACAGATAAGGAAACTAAGGCACAGAGAGGTGATTTGCACACCACACAGAGATTACAAGTGGAATAGCCAGGATTTGAACTATGTATGACTCTTCATCTCAGGACCTATGCCCTTAACCTCTACATCTCTATCTCTCTATTGATTCTTAGTTTCCTAATATAGGTGAATGTAATTTCAAGTTTTTCCTCAGACAACATCTGACTTATACTAACTTGGATCTTTTTTCTCTAATTCTTAGTCAACATGGGGAAACAGCCAAAAATGCAAAACCATTCTAATACGTTAGGAGTCAGTCCTCTCTCTCTCTCTCTCTCTCAATTGCTTGAAAGCGTGTAGTCATATTTCCGATAGACCAGTAGCAATAAGACTAGATTTTTGAAACAGTTTATACTATAGTTATTTTATGTTTATTTTAGTCTGCAATTTGTATCTTTTGAGTGATATTATAAATGATGATATTTGTTCAGGATTGGTCAATATGATATTTTCCAATTAGATAATCATTTTAACTTCTACATCATTTTTCGTAGTATATTGTCCAAAAACGGGTAAAGGTATTCTAGATTAGACTTCGCAATTACTATTATACTGAGATTGTACTGAGGACTCCACAGCATACCATTTGACAGGCGGTATTTATTAAATACATGACATTAGAGAAGGCAGAAAATAACAAAGGCAGAGACAGACATGATAAACATGTCTGTGTTTCACCTATGAATTTTAGTTTTCAGTGACTTTGACAGTTAAGATAATGCAAGGCTAGTGTCACTGCTGAATTTTTTTTAAGTTTGTTCAGAAATTCATTTTTCTTACCTTCGAGTTAAAGAGTCAGTGTTTCTAGCCAAGATAGACAATAACAGGGTCACACAAGGTATAGGAAACTACAGAATATAAATTATTTTTGTGACTTTGACTAAAAATAAAAACAGATTCTCATATTGGTGTATATTTTAAAAATACTAGAATGTATTAAACACTTATTATGTGTCAGGAAATATGATCCTAAAAAGACAGCACTCTCTCTGTTTAAATTCCATTAATATATTTTCTTGATCTACCCTAAAAATATACTCTATCATTCTGTTATTTTTCCCTGCTCTGACTTAACATAATCATATATTCCTTTTCTTTGACTTTGTTTGCATAAAAGTAAATGATGGTTAATCAATCACCCTTTTCTCCCTACTTTCCAGGAGTCAGCCTGCCTTTGCACTCAACCAACTTTCCTTCTCTAGACAAATTTATTACAAGTAGCTCTGCTTCTCTTTGGAGAGGTGTGTAAGAAGTCTAAAACTTCAACTGAGGTGTGCCCTGCTGAACCTTATTCAAATGGCCTGGGGATCTCACCGGTGGATGTAGATAAATAGCCATGGCCTTTGCAGTATGAGCTCTTGATATTCTATTGGCTATATTTAGCTTTACCTTTTATTGCAGGAGATGCTGAAGCTGAATGCAATCTTCCTGACGCAATGTTGAACAAAATAACATGTCCTACTTTTCTTTTTTTTAAAGCTGTTGATTTCAATAAGTCCCACAGAGCATTTAGGCGTGAGCTTCTAGCTTTAACTTAATGCTAAGTAGACAACACTGGATAAGCTACCTCGACTTCCATTTGGGATTAAAAGCAAGGACAGGAATAGTAAATATTCAAACTTAGATGCATGTGGTTGTCCCCAGACTTAGGAATCAGGGTCCTATATGGTCTCACATGAATTCTAGGTTTATAAACTATGTATGAGAGCCAAACATAAGTTTTCCCATGAAAAGGTGTCTGATTTTATTAAAACACAAAAAGAACTGATGGCTCACTCTTATTGTTGTGAAAATATGCCAATTTCTTAAGTCAAGTTAGTTAACATACTCATGAAACTATTGCAAACCCGAAGGATAAGAAAGCAATTTAAAATGCCTGAAATTAAAGCACTGCCCCTGGAAACCAATACATCAACGGGAAACTAGAGTGCATTCTGTCGTACTGTCAGAATAAAAACGAAAAGGAACGCAGAAGACACAAACTAAAAGTGGAAAGAGTTTTCCTTAAGACAAATGAGAAATCTTAAGAGACAGATTAGATACATATAAAATGAAAAATGAGATACTGATAGCCAAACAGACCAATATAAAAAAAAAATGTTGGCTTACGTTACTGCTTTTAGGGAAGACACTGGACAATGTGTCTTAATTAGTAATGTGGTCTGGGATTAATAAAGCAGCACATTCTCAAGACAGCTCTCTTTTGGTACAATTGTGGTATTCAAAAGTAAAACTAAAACTAAGTGATTTGATTACTTTCGTTTTCTAAGAGATAATTTGCACATGTGGAAATATCCCTCAAGATAAAGTATCATAGATCAAATGTTTACGTCAATTTAGTTTAAATGCAAAAGGCATGGACTCTGAAATAGACTGCTGTTTTGATAAATAAATTTATAAATAAATCTAATTTTATTTATTTATTTATTTATTTATTTATTTATTTATTTATTTAATAAATATGAGTCTCTGCTAGGCTCCTAAATACCACCAAATTTATATTCTGGGACATAAATTTTGCTGGGAAGCTTGTTGAGGGCTAGGATTTAGCTTGTTTTTATTTATTTATTTTTTATATTTTAAATATTTGGTAGTACGGGGCTGGTGCATTAACAGTTTTATTTCACATTAAGCTCTATAAAAGTGATATTCATGAGAGACTTGGCACTGGTTCTAAAC